TGGCTTCATGTACACCTTGCATATAATCACTTTGAAAGTTACACATTTTAAAACCATGAATGGGAAGAGAGGATGTTGGAAGGATGACCTCACCCTGATATGGTAGTGGTTCATTCTTACAACAAAGGGCTGCTACACGGGGAAAGGCTGCCACCTATAGGCCAACACAAGAACTGCTACTATCTACTATAAAAGTGATGTCATAGTTTAAGAAAGAAAGTTAGAGAAGGGTAGGAAGGAGCGACAAGGGGGGGCACGGGGATGTGATGGAGAGAAAACAGGAAGGAAGGATAAGAGAGAGAGGGAGAGAAGGTGATGTCATATTTTCAGAGGCGCCGAGGCTCCTTTGTCCATACGCTTTCATTAAACTGCAGAGCGACGTGGTGGATTTGAACACACATAGGCGTACAAATTACAGAGGTAGGCGGGAATTTGTGATTTCATATGGAACGTTCAAACTCACAAATGATAATCTTCAACCTGTCCTCATCTTCCATCTGGCCAACAGCGCCATGCTATTCACAAGCCTTTTTCTATGTTAGTCATACCACACGATTCCACCTTTGATACACTCCTGACAATTTCATGCCTTTGTAGAAGACTGCGCATCATGCCATACAATACCATTCAGCACAATCGTCACCTCTACCAAGTGTAATCTCACCTGATTTTGTCCATGACCGTCCATTTCTTTCTAACAATCTCACAATGAATTGCAACGACTGACTGCAGATTTTAACTCCGAGAGGGACGGAGGGACGAGGACGGCAGGGAAAGAGAAAAGATACAGGAACGCAAACAAGACACGGATAAAAAGCAGAGCTGTGGAGGACAGAAACCAAACTAAGCCTTTAGCATTAGCAGTAAGACTCTGACCTTTAACATACTTTGTTGAGAAAGAACAGAGTGAAAAGGCTTATGAAGAAAAGCAGCGGTCATACTCTGAGGCTTTATGAATGTAAGATAAAGGTATACTTTGGGCTACAGCACAGGGTAAAACAACACCTTTTCATCGCTGTGAATAGAAGAATTTCTCACCTTTTCTAACCTGTTATATGTGAGACATGCGACTAACAAAGCTTGCATACATGTAATGATGGCCATCAGCATTTCTCCTATTATAGGGAACCTATTACTGTTCCCTACTCCGCGCTCTGTTTGATGTGACTTGCATAAAGAAATAGTTTTTTTACAATCTCACACACGTTCACATCGTTTCTATCTCCCTCTGACTACTGGAGAACATCTAGTCTATGGCTGTGGCCACGTTTCTGTTAAGGTCAGCTTGAATGACAGCAGAGAGATGGCCTTTACATTGTGGAAATATCTGCATTATTCTGTCGCAGAGTTAGACGTATTTTTTTCAGCTGCCAGGAATCTCTAAACGCATGCGCCCTCAGCAGGTAGATTTATGTGTGGCAATCCATGCTGAAATAAAATATCATGTTTAGGGCTGCAGGAAGTTATAAGGGAAGATTTACTAACATGCTGCACCAGCACAAATTTGGTTTTGCCATTTAAAAAAATAAAATAAAATACTGTCTGTATTTACAGTGAGGAGACTGTAAGAGGTGGGAACTGAGACTTTTTGCGGCTGATCATGTTGCATATGCATTTCTGGGAGTTCCTTTCTCAAGGTGCTAAATATAGAAAGAAATCAAGCACACAGACTGATTTACTAATGTTTGAGACATGTAATTTCCTGCCAACTGCTCCGCTATTTATTTTAAAGAAATCATGTGTTTAGTGTATGGAAGCCCGTTTCCACCACTAAAACATTTTTTATTAATTAATTAATTAAAAACAAAAGTATTCATAACTCGAAATTTCAAGTTATTTTCTTGACATTTCGACTTAACTCAGAATTTTGAGAAAAGTAACTCGAAATTTCGAGTTAGCGCTGCCAATCAGTAATCTACGTGAATGACGTCATTTCCTTGTTACCCGGAAGCTGAAGCCCTGAGCTACAAATGCTACAGCTAAGCTAACAGTATCAAAGCCAGTCATGAATGCACAAACTGCTGAGTATTTTCACCGTGGCTTCACAAATGATTAAATCCTTGTGTTATCAGCTGAATCACATCAGCAAACATGCTCTCAAAAGCGCCAATTTGTTGCAATCCGGTAATAAGTGCGTATTCCTCTGCGCCATATCCTTCCAGGTAATAAGAAAATAATGTCAGTCACATAGATTACTGATTGGCAGAGCTAATTCGAAATTTTGAGTTAGTTTTTAAGTTTGAAATGTCAAAATTTCGAGTTATTTTCTCGAAATATTGTGCCTGCACACTCATGTGTGCCCACACATTTTGACAGAAACAGCGGATACTTTTTCAGTGGCGGAAACAGGCTTCCATAGAAACAGCACAACTGGTTGTTTTTTTGTTTTTCTTCCTTTTTTTTTCCTCTTTCTTTTTTATGTTTTATTGTTATCATCCTAATTTGTTTTGATATATGTCTTTATATCAGTTGGTACTTGCTGTATTGGGCCTGATATGTCAAATTACATGTGCAAAACTTTATAAATAAAGAGGGGGAAAAAAAGAAAAAACCCCAAAAAAGAAAACAGCACAACTTTTGTAAATCACATGAAAAACTCAGCACACCTATTGAGCACCATTTGGGGATCATGCTCACATGCACATGTCCATAAAGACCCTGGAGTCACAAAACTGTTCCGGCAAAGAAAACGTTAAAAAATTTTTTGTAAAATAGCAGCTTCACATCAAAGTACGGTGTCAGACAGAAAGAAAATGAACCTTCGTTTCAGCAGAGTAAACATACCACCGGGGCACACACCAGGGAGACAAATGTATACGACAACATCAAACAAGAGCGCATCCTTTCTAAACGTATTCAACCATGCAAAATATATGCAAACAATAGAAGACAGACATTCAATTAACTTTCTTCTGACCCTCATGTGTATTTATATCCAATTTTCTCTTTTAGTGTTTAAAGTCTGCCTCACAGGCACATGCTCTGAATGATTTGAGCTTTCTGCTGCGTAAGATTATTAAGGGTTTCACTTTTCCTGCCCGGTCGCTGTGCAGCCATGCTTTTAACATGAGGAGGAGACAGAGAAAGTCTTCACCCGGAGATTATAATAATCTAATACCCATAACAGCAATATTTAACCTTATTACCAAAGAGTGTATTACATTACACCCTCTTGCATGTATATCTGCTGAGGACTTTAAGACAACCAGAGAAGCAACATGTGCTGTAATCAGATTCAGAGACAGGAGGATGCTACCCTTACAAAGGTCAAAGTGGGAATAGAAAACAACTGTCTGAATACAAACAAGTTTTCTCTACGCTCTCTTCCGACTGCAGCCATTCCACTAAATTTAAAAAGAAAAAATCCCAAATTAAATTAGCACAGAAAGTCTAAAGCTGTTACGAAGTGGAGGGGCAGGTAAAAGACGACAAACTGAACAGAGACGCGTTACGTCAGCAAGGAGCAAGAAGAGAGAAATCAGGGTCTGGCCTAGCAGATGAGGAGAAAAACTATTGGCCTGTGGTCATGGGCTTACTGTGTCTTGCGTGTCATGTTGAATGAGTGGGTAGATCTGCATTTTTGAAGTGTGTGATTAATTTTGCTCTATGGCTGTGGAGACCCCACGGAGAGAAAGAAAAATGCCTAAGGGGTTTACTCCGTCTTCTTCATCCGTCTTGGTGCGTGTCTATTCAAACACACACACACAACAACACAAATACTCACACTGAACACATAACTAATCACACAAATCCACGCACAATCAATTTTCCTTGTGACAAACATGAGGTCACAAACATTCACCAGAGTATCATATTTAACTGACTACAATGCAATGCAACACTCAGTGTCATATCACTCTCTGCGTTATCGTTTTCACCTGTGTCGGTCTATCACACTTGCGCACACTCGCAATGAAACCCTCCTGAAAGACGTCCCGTGATCTAGTACCGAACATGGCCAGCGTCTTCATGCAAAACCGAAGAATGAAAGGCAGCATTCACTATATCAGTTTTTTCTAACGAGCTGTAATCTGAACCATGTACGCTCTCATCTACTTTAAGTCAGTTTAAAGCATGTAAATGACCGCTGTAATCATGGCGATGAGAAATAACAAAATACATCTGGTTCCTAAAGACTGCAGACGTGAATTAAAATGCTTACACTGCACAGTTCATCCATAGGTGTTTTTAACAAGTTCAATTCAATGAAAAATAAAACTCACCAACCAGAATAACATTTAAGGTTCAGTGTACTTATAGAGCAAGACCGCCCTCTTGTGTTTAATAATAATATTGACATTAATCCTATAGACATTCAACAATAATAATGATATTTAAATGGTTTAAAGATTTGTGGCCTTTTTTGCTTTTACTAGATGCACAGTGGAGAATAAACAGAAAAGCAGAAAGTGTGGGGGAAGACAATCGTCAAAGGACCATGGGTTGGAGCAGACCCAGAGCGCTGCCCCTGCTCAAGCAGCAAGCTAAACTGGCACCCATAATAATGGTAAATGGCCTGTATTTGTATAGCGCTTTACTTAGTCCCTAAGGACCCCAAAGCGCTTTACACAACCAGTCATCCACCCATTCACACACACATTCACACACTGGTGATGGCAAGCTACGTTGTAGCCACAGCCACCTTGCGGCGCACTGACAGAGGCGAGGCTGCTGGACACTGGCGCCACCGGGCCCTCTCACCACCACCAGTAGGCAACAGGTGAAGTGTCTCGCCCAAGGACACAACGACCGAGACTGTCCAAGCCGGGGCTCGAACCGGCAACCTTCCGATTACAAGGCGAACTCCCAACTCTTGAGCCACAAAGCCCAATAATTCCATATTTACCACTGTAGCTGTTCATCCATTTATCTTTTGTCTACATATAAAATACATCCAATATTTCTATTGTAATGTTATGGTATAGGCAGCTTCCTGTTGGTACTGTTGACTTCAAATCAACAGAATTAATACAACATAGTACAATTACATCATTTCTTACCAGTCATCTTGTATCCGCTGGCAGCCAGCTGCCCAGCCATGTACTCCCCATCTGAGTTGTTATGACTGCAGCCCCATGTTTTCATCCAGATCTTTTGGGTACCAGGGATCAAACTAAAAAAAAAAATACACAAGTAATACGTCCATTATAAATCATCCTGATGTGCAAAAATCGATGTCTGAACCAAACCGGCTGACAAAAGACTGTCTATTGTAAATTTGCTTTATTACCCATGTGTGTTGGAGGAAGTACAAAGGTGCTTTTACACCAGCTGCTGTCAAACTAAATCTCAAGAGTAAATATCAAACCACCCTGATAAGGTGGCTTTCCGATTCAGTGGGATCTTGTGTAAGGCATTTGTGGCTTGGAAGCTTCTAAGGTTTTTGGTATAGCTGATGTATGCTATTGGTGTCATTTCCTCTGTTAGATAAGAAATGCAAAAAATAAGACAACATGAACGTGGAACAGCAACATGTACCGCGACTGTAATTTAGTTTTCCCCAGCATAGCCATGTAGAATGTAAACATGCTCAACATGACTATGGCATTTTTCTAATCTATCCGATTACTGAAATATAAATATATAAAATATTAACATAAAACTAATCAGAAGAAAACAGTTTGCAGTTAGATGAAATTATGGGGTTTATTTTATTTTTTTAAGTAGTGGAAGAAACAATTCAGTTATAACAACAACTAGAAATGTAGTTGAAGAAACAAACACTACTTCAAACACTTCAGGAATTTCAATTAAAAACATCACTCACTTGGAAAACGAAGTAAACACCTTCAGAAATCCCCAAAATTGCGAGCTTCTGGATTATACACTGGTGACCAGAAACCTCTCACACAGGGTACAATCGATAGAGCAATCAAGAGAACACTGGTAAAAATGCTGGAAATGGAAAACTTTTGGTTTTGTTGAACGAGATGCTTGGAGTAATTTAGAAATAGTGTCCAAATAGTTTGCTTAGCACTGTAACTTTTACAGAACTCTAAAAAGTGTCAGCAACGCATGCAGCCGAGTTGTGATCAATAAAGCAGTGTTTTGATTTGAGTTGCTAAACACTTTGTGAAATACAGTCATTTTCCTTGTTACTAAAGTGTTTGGGATCATTATTCCAAGTTTCATAGCTCTAATATGAGAAGAATTTGCCTCGGATTCGACAAGCTTAAACCAAGATGTTCAAATGTATGTAATGATTTATGTGTAACTTTTGAGAACTCGCAAGTGCGTGTTTAAATCCACACACAAATGCAAAGCAATCTGGCTCCACAGATAAGATAATTCTCTCTTTCAAAAAGCTTTCTGTGCATATAAACGTCTAAAACTACTGACGTGAGATGCGTTCAAGCTCCAGTGTGAAACTGGGACATCTGTGCTTCCACTGTATACCTACATTTCTTTCTTTCTCTAAATAAAGAGAACAGATTGTCACCACTATACTACAAAACATAATCTATGTTTCGGCCTACATTTGTGGATCTGTGCATAGCTGGCAACATGAAATCTTTCTAAAAAAAAAAAAAACCCAAATGGGCAGGTACGAAAAAGCATTAGGGCCACATGAAGAAAAAACATTATTGGTCATTTTGAGAAAATGTCCAAATGTGGCGATTAAAGTTGTTGTTTCAAGAAAAACTGCCATGGCTGCTACACCCTCTATAAAATGCCAGTGGTTATCAATGGTTAAATCATGAAGAGGATGTATGTTGAATGCGTTTTAGGCTTGAATTCCACAACTACAATCTCCACATGGAAGTGGGCTCAAAAATTTCAGTGCACTGATGTTAAGAGATGGGTGGACAATTATTAAAAACCATCTAAAAGACGTTATTCCTTCTAACATGAAGCCAAAATACACGTTTTTCACTGACAAAAATATCTACTAATACATTTTTTTAATACATGGTTAATTTTTTTTATTTTTAAGCCAACAATTTCCCTTTTTCCCCCATGGCAGTAACATAATATCAAACACTGGACACACCTGTCAGCTTGAAGCTCCTCATTCAGGAGCTCTTTCTTCTTCCTTGCCCTTGGTATGATACTTTTTCTAGCAGACTGTCTTTCATGAGGAGTGGGGTCACTAGAAGACACCATGTCCTCGATGTCTTCCATCAGAGAGTCACAAGAAGACGGCATGATGATCTGGAAATTAAGCAAAGCTTTAGTCAGCTTTTTGGAGTAACATAAAAATATATAGTGGCAGAATCCCTTTAAGAAAGCTCCATGCTTCACTGCTGCCAGCAGACTCTCCTTCATTTCGCAGATTTCAAGGTTTTTAGTCATAAAGTCGGAGTACCTGCAAAATTCTTGGTATGGTTTTGTGGACACTTTGTTTTGTTCCTAAACTGTTTTGCGCAATGCTTCAAGATTTGGATATGAAACCTCTTCAGCAATATTATGGCTGACTCAGTCTCACTCCTTGTACCTTGTACTGTTTTTTCATTAGTACCCGTTTTAGGGTTTTAGGAATGCAAAGGCTACATGTGCAGGAACAGCATTAGCATTTGCAAAATAAGCATGATTATTAGAAGGATTCATAGATAAAGAAAGATGCAGTGTGCAAATTATGGATTAAAGTATTACTAAAAAAAAAAAACTATCAATACAAGATCTTCATGACCAGTGAGTGCGACATCCTGAAGTACAGTACATCTACTGATGCACATGTATTAATTACCGTTACATTCTCTTTAAATGTGTTGTTCACGATAAGTAGATGAAAAGGTGCATGGCTGGAGATACAAGCTATGCTGAATATGCGCACACGTCACTTAAACGCTTACTGGGTTCAAGTTGTACAAGTTTTATACAACAGATCACGTTTCACACTTATGAGCTGGTTTTACTTTACCCTAAACGAGGATTTACACAGGGAGGCTAACATTAACGTAAATTTACACATTTAAAATGCTTCATTTGACACTTATTTATCCCTCTTCATTGGTTTAACTGGTTAACAAGCGCAGGGTAGCGTTTATCTTGGCTAGCCTCATTGGCTAGCTAGTACCCACGTGTCTCTTATTCTGAGCAGACAGTCCCAATAAAAACATTAAAGTTTCTTACCTTAGTCGTACTGTAGTTGTAGCCTTCAGCTAAACTCGAATGTCGAGGGCAATATGCTTTAAAAAGGCACACGATGATTATTTACGCCACCAAAGCAGTCACCACAACCCTTAGACCGCCATACTTGTCTGTAAGTACGGAAGGTAAATAGGGACAAACTGTATAAGCGCGTGTTTTTCTCAAGTAGTGAGTGAATAAGGCCAACTGAATACGGGTATGATTCAGTGTCATGTGTGGATAACACTACATATACGGTCAGCAGCCACTTCATTAGGTATAACGGTTCAGCTGCTCATTTAAATGGTAAATGGGCAGCTTCTCATACAGCGCTTTTCTATTCTAAAAACTCAAAGCACTTTATACAACTTGCTTCCTTCACCCATTCCCACCCACACAAGCACTTTTCTCTTTGTAAGTGCTTTCTATCTATTGACAGTGCATTCACACTCCGATCAGAGAGCAACTTGGGGTTAGTATTTTGCCCAAGGATATTCAGCATGCAGACTGGGTCTGCAACCTTCTGATTAGTGGACGACTTGCTCTGCGTCCTGAACTATAGCCTCCCCATCAGACTGGATGCATGTATGTTGAGCCCCCTTCTCTTCACTCTGCTGACCCACGACTGCACACCATCACACAGCTCCAACCTCTTCATCAAGTTTGCAGACAACACAACTGTGGTAGGTCACATCAGCAACATCAATGAGACCTACTACAGGAGTGAAGTTAACCATCTGGCCGAGTGGTGCAGCAACAACAACCTGTCCCTTCAGGAGAACTCACACCCTGTACACCCCACTAACCATCAACGGTCCTGCTGTAGAGAGGGTAAGCAGCACTAAGTTCCTGGCTGTGCACATCTCAGAAGATCTTCCTCTGCACACTGAGGTGAGCAAGAGCCTCAACCACCATTATGAGCTCCTTCTACAGAGGCACCGTTGAGAGTATCCTCACCAGCTGCATCACTGTGTGGTATGGCTCCTGACGGAAAAAGTTACAATGAGTAGTGACAGCAGCGGATCGTGGATACTTCTCTTCCCTCCCTCCAGGACATCTACTGCACCCGCCTCATCCGGAAAGCCCTCTGCATTTCAGGTGACTCAATCATCTGTTCAACTTCTTCTTCAATTTGCTGCCATCAGGAAGGAGACTGAAGAGCCTCCGGGCTAAAAACAGCAGACTGAGACACACACGAACTCCAGACCTGCATTGACCTCTTCCCTCTGAACACCCC